CAGGATCAATTAGAGACTTCTATTTCCCTTCTTCTTTCCCTTGTCGGTGACCTGCATTGGTGGTTGGACAGGGCTCACACTTCAGCAAGTGTCTCGCTCCCCCCCCCCACCCCCATCTAGATTTGCATATCTTCACAGACGCTTCCCTTCTGGAACGTACTCACCCATGGACTTCATGGGTGAAGGAGATAGCTGCCACCCCTTTGATTGAATAAACCAGGTATGGTGTGCTTTTCAAGATAGTTTTCGTGGTCACCAGTTACAGTGTCCCCAGTGTTGAAATCCCTCCAGACTCTCCACCACATTTCTCTCCCCTTTTTCTTCCAGTGGAGTATGGGAGTCTTTACTACTTTCCAGTTCCAAGCCACTGGGGTGGTGGACCATAGAGGCATCATGATATTGATATACGATACAAGTAATGTTAAAACCATTCAGTTGGAAGTAGGATGGTGGTGTTCTGCTGGTGTAGATGATAAGATGTCCTCTAGTTTGATGCTCCATCTCTGTACAGATTTATCTGAGGGGATGTTGTAGCTTTGGAGTGAGCTGTTGTAATTGCAATTCATCTCTTCAATTGGGATCCCTCATCCATGGATGTTGGTTCTCAGTGACTGGATTTTTGATTCATAGCTGAACCAGTCCACACAAGTCATCACACATGTATTATAGGTGTCTCTGCTCCTCACTCAATTATTGTTCCCTCCACTCGCGTTGTGGGTCACAATTGTCAAACTTGCATATTAATACAGTTCTTCTTATGCTATCTTTTGATGTTTTTCATATACTGAGGATATTATTGCACTGGGGTGGTTCCTATCGAATAGTTTTGAGTAGGTTAGTTTCCATTACAGAGACATCTTTATTATGCTGATCACCTGGATGTCAGGTTCTTGGATCAGTTAAACAACTTATCATATTGCTATCTGTGTCCTGGTAAGAGATTCCCTCCATTCTGCTGAATTTGAGGTGCAGATGGTATGTTCATCTTTCCTACTCTCACCAGATGGCTGGGTTTTGGATTATAGTTAACTTGCTGGCAGTATGATCCCCTTTTCTACCCCCACATGGATGTTTGTTCCCAGTGGCTGGGTTTTGGATTGTAGTTAACCTGCTGGCAGTATGATCCCCTTTTCTACCCCCACATGGATGTTTGTTCCCAGTGGCTGGGTTTTGGATTGTAGTTAACTTGCTGTGGATGGTCAGCCTTACAATAGCCACTCTACACCTTTTACTGTCACCCACATTAATGTACTTTATGGGATTGATATTCCAATCTATTGTAGTTTGGATCCCTATCCAACCACTGTTCTCCCTCATTTGGATGAGTTCTTCCCATTTTCCGCCTATGTCTGTGACACCTCTTTCCACTCTGGGCAAAGAGTCTCCTATGTATGATCCTCATACTCTTTTAGGGTGTTCTTTGGATGCTTTTGAGGAATGCTTCTTTGTTTTTCCCTCCACCTATTCAATGTGGGATTCTAGCTATTTATGTGAGTGAAGGTTATATACTGTATCAGAAGTTATAATTTTCCAATACTGAAAATATATTTCCGATAAGCACTTACTGCCTCTCACATTTTCCCACCTTTCTCCCCACTAAAAAATGGTGTTTCCATTTTTAGTAATAGTTTGGTAGAATAGAAATGCATCAGGAAAGTGTGTCGCACTCCTATTGGTGGAAGCTTGTTGCATGAAGATTTACATACGAGTCGCAGTTGAACTATTGATTGTAAAGTATGTGGAAGCTCAAGGCTTGTGGCATGCAAAACATTTTTTGCATATAGATGGCAGCACTGAACAAGAATAGCTATTTATGAGAGAGGAGGTAAATACCTATCAGCAATATATTTTCAGTATAGGAAAATTATAACATTCTACTTTAGACTGTGGTTCTTACATTTTTAACTTATTTCTTTCTGTCGCTTTAAAAAATGTGCAAACTAATTAAAGGAATAGAGCTTGTATAACAAACAAAGGTCTCTTGTCAAACTGACTCCATCTTGGTGATTGATGGAGCTAATACTAGTGATCAAAGCTGATTTTATTTTTAATATGATTTTATTCCATTTGAGTTTACAGTTTTTGTATTTCTGATTTATGAAAATATTAAGTGTTTATTTTTAAATGCTATATCTTCCAAACAATGCTCCAGAAAAAAAAATCTATATATATATATATATATATTTTTTTTTTTTTTTCCTCAAATAAAAAGTCCTATGACATTGGGCAAATGTTTATTCTTAGGCATTAATCAACCTTCTACGAGGAAAAAGATTTGAATTCTGTGAATCTGTAATTGTTTACTGTACAAGACGAGAAGATACAGAGCGTTTAGCTGTAGTGATTCGTACCAGCTTGCAAGATGTTCGGTTGGATTCGTCACAACCACGAGCAGGCACCAAAAAGGGAAAAAGCCAGGGTATGGTCATTCTAGTATAATTTTATTTAATATATGAATGTCATGCATTATGATATCTAGTACTGAATAAAATAGAATTACGAAATTAATTTAAATCCAGTGGACGAGAAAATCACTTGACAAATATGTCATATTGTAGATGACACAGATGTTAGAAAGTGTACAATTTTTTATTGGTTTTTATAAATTTGTCTGCTCTTCTTTGACTTCTATTATACTTCACATACATTTCTTTAAATGATGTCAAGATATTTGACATGCATCACTTTATTAATTCTACTAAGATAGTAAGAATGCTTAACACCTAACCCTGTTCCTGTGAAACTGTACATAGCAATATTTACAATAATAACAAATTTACTAACTGTATCTTAAAGACATTTAGCAAGGTTTTTACTTTTAGTAAACATTATAAGTCTTTATTATAAATGTACGATGTTTCAACAAGAATGTCATCATAATGATTATCATAATGAAATAAGGTATATCCGAGATATAAAAATTGTTGGATGCTATGAGAATCAAGTTCCCTTAACACCAAGTTACAGAATCAGGATATTTTGTTATTGTATATTGTTATCCATTTTAAAATGACCATAGAAGCTTCTGACTTAAACTAAGCTCTTTATTATGGTTATAAACAACTATGTCAAATACAATTATGCAGTTTTGAAAACAACCTTGAAAGTTAAGGACAGATGGATGGGGCATTTGTCATGGGTTGTGAAAGTTTATTTATCTCTCAGTAAATGGATATTAGGAAGTTTACACTGTAACATTAGACTTTGGAACTGTCTAAATATTGTGTCTAAAATAAATTAGACAATGTACATGTTGGAATTTTTAAATTATACTAACTAAGAAAAGAACATTGAAAGCATTCTCACATTTTGTGACAACAAAAACAAAGATTGAGAATTTTTTAAGTATATTCTTTTGAAATTAAGAAATTGAAACTTGTATAAAAAATGTTAATTATAAACTACATTCTGATGCTAATTATATTGAAATATGTCAGTAATAAAGTTATAGAAATTGTGAAAGTAACTCTTAAAATCTTGTAGTGTGCAGAAGAGCCAAGCCATTCATATAGATTAACTGATATCTGGTGATGCAGTACTTTATTAACTGATATCTGGTGATGCATTACTTTATTAACTGATATCTGGTGATGCAGTACTTTATTAACTGATATCTGGTGATGCATTACTTTATTAACTGATATCTGGTGATGCAGTACTTTATTAACTGATATCTGGTGATGCATTACTTTATTAACTAATATCTGGTGATGCAGTACTTTTTATTAACTGATATCTGGTGATGCAGTACTTTATTAACTAATATCTGGTGATGCAGTACTTTATTAACTAATATCTGGTGATGCAGTACTTTATTAACTGATATCTGGTGATGCAGTACTTTATTAACTGATATCTGGTTATTTGACATGCAGTTCTTTGGTGTTCTCTAAATAGTTGACATGCAATTCTTTGATATCTGAATATTTTGCATGTAATTATGTGGCTGATGTAAAATTTGAGAAGTTGTTCCGTGACAAATGTCTGGAAATTTGAGAAGAAATTCTTATAAATAATAGCGGGTGCCTACGAAAAAAACTAACATACCTTCAGACCCATTTTATAATTTCTGCATGAAACCCCGTAATACAAAACATTCACTAGTTAGCTTGAAATTAATACATTAAGTATTTTGGAAAAGATATAAATATAGATTAAATCTTTTTATTTGTAAAACGTTTGTATATCTTTGTTTGATTAAGTTTCAAAGGGATCAGTTGTAGATATTGAAGTTTATAATTTGAATTAAATGGCATGAACTTGGAAAATTGAAGAATGCCACCAATAGGTATTTGAAGTGTACTTTCATTGTAAAGCTTGTTCAGTTTTGATTAAGAGGTTCATCCAGGCACTGGAAATTCTTTTGACAACAAAAATCATGATATTTTATTAATGAAGATGTTTAAATTCTGCTGTTTCAGTTTTCAATTTTAAACACTGAAAGACTTTAATTTAACTGGTTTTCACACCTTCTACCTGGTGATTGGTAATGGTATTCTTACTGTTTAAATACAGTATACTCTGAGGAAATCATAATGAAATTTGTGATATTAACTGAGTAGTCGTTAACATAATATACAGTTCTCTACAGTGGGATCATAATTAAAAATATAAATATACCAGTGCTTGGAAGCTTCTTTTAACTATTTAATCCATGCTCTTGTTTAAGTTATCAGAATAATTGTTTTTGACCCATTTTGATGGAAGCTGTAATTCTGGGATTTTTCTAAGCTGAACTACCACTAACAACTGTGTGTAACTTGTAATCATAGCTGAACACAACACCACAGAAGACATTAGTTTAGGAGGTTTCAAAATACATTGCAGAACTTGTAATCTTAACCAAACACAATACCTCAGAAGCTATACGTTTATGGAAGTTTTAAGAAACATTTTCACACACATCTGTACAGAACTTGTAATCTTAACCCAACAACACAGAAGGTGTTAGTTTAAGAGGTTTTTTTAGATACATTTGTCCAGAACTTGTAATCTTAATCCAACAACACAGAAGCTATTAGTTTAGGAGTTTTCAAAATACATTTTCACAAACAGTTGATGGAACTTTTGTTCTTGATCCAGCTCCAAGAGCATTGTTAGCTTGGGATGCAGAAGCTTATCATGCGGGCTTGACAGCAGCAAAAAGACGTTCTGTGCAGAACAAGTTTATGAAAGGTATGTTCTTAAGATCAGCTAATAATGGAGATGTTTTAATTTTATTTTGAGTAGGAAGCAAATTTGTTCTCATGTGAACTTGATTTTTACAAAATATGATTGGTGATTGCCATCTGAAACTGTTCAACTTCCTTTTAATTCATGTCTGTAAATGTCACTGATTAATTTTTTATTTAATAGACTAAGAAAATTCCCTACTTTATTTATTATAACATTTATATTTAAATGAATAGGAAAAAATTTGAATTTAAACATTTTTTATATATACATCTGCACAAAATTGAGTTGTATGAAGTAGGATATTGCAACTGCTTTGTTTTCTTTAAATTACAAGTATTGTTCAAAATTACCATCATCTCATGAAATAAACCTATTTCAAAATGTATGATAGAGTATGTGAAACTAAGAATAAACATACCTTTTTTATTATATTATACTGGTATGTTAGTATTATAGTTTAATAGTACTAAAAAAAAAACCCAAAAAAACTAACATTATGATTATAACTACTTGAAGATATGTATCATGATAAAAGTATTCAAAAATTGAACAAATAATAGTATGTTAATCCTGTAACAAACTTTGAAGATTATAGTGATATACTGACTATATCATTTAAAATAACACTAAACATATACAGTATAAAACAGCCAATCACATGTTATAATGAAACAACCAATGCCATGTAACATAACATGCTATTAATCTATAGTGATAATAAAGCAATCAGTAGTAGATACTTAAATATGATAAGAAACATACAATGTCATGTAACATAAGGTACTAAACATCTATAGTGATAATAAAGCAATCAATACCAAACAATTAAATAAAATGATAAACAACCAATGTCGTGTAACATATTGTACTAAAGAGATACTAAATCAATCAATTTTAAACATTTATTTTAGGAAAGCTGAGGGTAATTGTAGCTACTGTGGCTTTTGGTATGGGCTTAGACAAGTCTGATGTTAGAGCTATCATACATTACAATATACCCAAAAGCTTCGAAAGCTATGTTCAAGAAACTGGCCGAGCTGGAAGGGATGGTGTGACATCTCACTGTCATTTGTTTCTTGATCCACAGGTGAGTTTAGAGAAATGTGATGATCTTTTCTAAAAGATTTATTTTTTCATTATTATTGACAGATTTAATTACATTTGACCTAAATTTAATGTATGCTGCCATTAATCAATCAGGTGGTTTGTCCACCATTACAATAGTGAAAGAAAACACATGCCTAATCATAGCAATATCGATCCTTTATTTCCATTTCTTAAACTGCTATTTACTTTAAGAATTGGAAATGGATATGTAGTTTGTCTGCTTTAGCTTGTTTACAGTTGTACCTTTAATGTTAAAATGGCAATGATGATGTCTTAGTAAAGATGCCTTTATATACTTCATCTGACAAGTAAAATGGTGTATTATGTGTGCTAGGTATGTTTTCATCATCTTTTGGCAATATGTTCTCACCACATTTGGCTTCTGGGACTGAATAGAAGAGAGGCGTCTTGGCTCTGTATTTCTTTTAATTCCTATCCAGTGCATGCTATACCCGTATAGTTATTTCTAACTGCGTGTACTGTTCTTACATGACTTCATGAGTGTCCTTGTCCTGCCATGCATGAGCATCATTCTTTTAAAATAGTCTCATCTTGTTTACAACAAACATACACTTCATTTGTTTTTGATATATTTTGTGAGGCACGGATGTCTGCTTTCAACATAATGTCATTATTTTCATATATCTGATGCAAAATTTGACTTACATAATCACTTTGGAAGTACTTGTAACTCTGCAAGCATTTAAAGTTTTTCATCTCCTGACCACCAACTACCTTTTATTATGTCAGATAGTTGCCATACATAACATTTGGCCAATTTCTCATTGGTCGATTTAGTAATTTTATTTACATTCAGTGTTTTTAAATACTCGCTATCTGATTCCATTTCCGTTACAAATAAACGATTTGTTGATAGTATGACAACTTGTGTGCGTTTTCTTCCACTACTGCATTGGCAACAGTATTGCAACTTTAGCAGCTGCGTCTAAAAGTAAGGGTGATAATTTCAAAAAACATGTCTAAATGTTGGAAGATATGTTCCCATTGGTTTAAAACTCTGTAAACATTAAATGTAGGGTTGTTTTGCTTAGCACAACTTACTGATTCTGATACTTTCGCAATAATTTTCAGCATTAATTAATATTATTTTTTCAGTTATCTGTAGTGCCACTTATGAAACAAACTAACAATCATATGCTTTAAGACATATTATAAATTTTTAATAATTAATGTAATAAAGGCTGATAAAAGAAAAATTCAAAATGAGTTTCTTTCCCAAGAATATTAAGAAGTTGATTGTATTGTTGTTATTGAAAATTCATGAATTTTAAACTGGATGTAAATAAAAATAAGTAGGATGAAGCTATTAGTAATTCATAATTATTATTAAGTAAAAATAAACTAACAGTGGATAATAGAATGATAAAGTAAACAATAAAGCTGTCAGTGTTTTAATACTTGAATGATGTAAGTAATGACCAAAACTAAACATTTGTTTAAATAGTGGTTTATTAGCAATTATAATGAAACTAATAACAGAAGGCAATGTTGTCTATCCCAGGACTAGTTATAATCAGACAACTAAAGCACTGAAATTAAATTTTTAAGGAAGTTAGTTTTACAACATAAAACATATTTTTGTCTTAAGTTTCCATTTGTTATTAATTATAACATTTGCGTGGGTAGTTCTGCAATGATATTTTTTAAAAGTTTTCTGTGTGGTATTTTTTATAATATCTGTTCTTTGTTGTTTATTTGTTTTTGTATAATACGTGAATCAGTTCACATGAAAACAAAACTTTTTTTTTATCTATTAAGGGACGTGACCTGTATGAACTTCGTAGACACATTCATGCTAATGGTGTAGACAGAGGAACAGTTAGAAAACTGCTACAAAAGGTTTTCCTACCTTGCAAATGTTATATACAAGACACTGACTGTAAGAATGATAACACTGAAGAAAAGGTGAAGTAAACAATCTTAGTGCATGATAGTGTGTGAATCGTATTGTGTTAGTTTAAGTACTTCAGTTGACTTTGTAAATTTTACTTGGTAAATAGATTGATGATATATGATAAGGCATGGAGATACCAATTAGCAATCAGACATGTTAATCATGACTGACGATGAAAGGTTTTTAAAAATGTTTTTTTTTTATTAATTATTGTGTGGTATACTCTGGCACACAGATTTCGTACAGAGCAGCCACTTAGAACCCACTAATTAGAGGTTTGAAAGATATTACTCCACAGAGTATGATTTTGTGTGTCTACAAATTTGACTGCTCATCAACAAAGAAAAAAGCAATACACAAGATGCACAACATAATAATCTTCATAAATGGACAAACAAATAAACCATTACAAAATAAAGGCAAGTATTTGTTGTGAGTGTTAAAAAAGAAGTGTGCAAAATACCTTTAATAGGCCTCTCTTACCAGACCAATGTGAACTCCTCTGCATGCTAAAAGAAAATGAAAATGTTAAAACCCTCACGTTAGACCTGAAACAAAGCACAGAGAATACTAAGTTTACCTCACTAAAGTTAAGAAAACTGTAGATTCTTAAAACACTGACAGTCTTCTGAAAAACTGTGAGAAACCTTTCTTAACAGGGAAGAACCTGGCTTTAAATATTCAACACAATATTAGCAAAGTCTTGTTACTCATGCGACACTCCTCGGACACACGACCTGGAGCCATACACTATCCAGCATAGGGGCATGGTTAGTCCCAAGGCCATTACTTGAGTTGCCAACAGAAGAGACGGTTCTCTATCTCAAAACGTCTGGTGAAGTAATAGCTGTCCTCTGTATAAGAGAACCTAATGGCAAATTAGTGAATCCAAGTTCCATGGGCACCAGAGTAAGTAAAGCTGAGTTGTTCACTTGAGCAACTCTCTGCTTCCAACAACTGAAAAAAACACAGAAACTTTGAAAAATGTATATATTAACTAAGGGATAGCTAACACGTGGTACAGTCTTCACTATATCTAAAGACAAAAAGCATACAGAATACATGAAAAGTTTTTTTGGTGTACAAAACTTGAAGATAGAGTTTATGTGCGGAAACATCTTTTAGCTGAGTTCTTGCACAGATTGTAAAATATAACATTGATAAATGGAAACATCGGCACATGTAGATCTTGAAAGTCGAGTTGTTCAAAACTTGAAAATATCGTTGATAACTGGACCAATTGTTGAGATGTTGCAAAGGAAATATCTGCTGAAGCTTTTCACCAGACACTAATCATAGCAGAACTGTCTGGAAAATGATCTATAGGAAATAGTACAGCTTATAAAATGAGTCAGATCAGCGTAGGCCGGTAAGGCAATCACTGATTGGCATGTCCTTAAGCCAATCAGAAAATGTCACAGACCTACTGAAGAATGTGTAGATTGTATAGGAATTCCGTTTATCAACGTTATATTTTAAGATCTGTGCAAGAACTCAGCTAACAGATGTTTCGGCATATAAAAGCTATATTCAAGCATATAGAATACTTATAACTTTAAACCAACTAGACTGATATAACTTAGAAGTAAGAAAATTCTACATTTCGTTGTAAAATATACAATGAAATAGCTGATGCTTCATAATTCTCTGCTATAATGAACATTATTTTTTAACAAGGCCTACTGTAGATCTTACACTGTATTCCAAGTGTTCTTTATTTGCAATACTGAATTGAGTTTATAATTGTAGCAGGACTTATTCTTAATGCAAATATTAACACCTTACTAATGTATAAAAGTTTTTTTGTTTTTAGTATGTTAAAAAAATTGCAGTATAGGTATAATATGTTGTGCATTATTTCTAAGCTTGTTGGGTCAATGTTGTGGTATGCAGATATAACCTATCCCACTGTCGTATAAAATTGATCTTTGATATAACAGAAAGTTAATTGAGAATTTTTATTGTGAACCTCATAAATCTAGGCTAGGTCGTATGCTAACTTAACCCTTGATGTTACTGTATGGCACAAGTCAGTCAAGGATGTTATCTTCTGTTTCATGTGATATCTTTGTTGTACTCAATCCACCTTCCAAGAGAATGTAGATTGTTACAGCAGTTTTGTCACTTTTAGACAGATTTATTTCAACATTGAAGTATCTTAGACATGCTGTCTTTTATATTTGTCAAAATTAATGTTCCATTTGCTGACTGTCTTTGTTGATCTGTTTTCAAATTAAAGCCAGGTCTCATTTGTCTAAACATATACTTTTGTCAGAATATTTTCTTTCTTCCATATATTTAATTTCAATCAGTTTAATATGTTTAATTTTAGCAGCAGCATTTCCTACCATTTAACATGATTGGAATTTATGTCACTGATTTGTTCATTAATATAATGTTTATCTTTTGTTATCCTTACATCAAGGCTCATCTTTTTCACTTAACCATCAAGAGATGACCACACTTGTCCGTCCACATACTACATACTTGACCTTTTTCTTTGGTGAAAATCAGGAAATTGGGTGCTCCAACTTTTCTGAGTCCAGGAATACTACACAGCTAAATATTTGTCCTGATTTACTCTTAAACTGTGCAGGATTCAAGTTTCTTGCACATTTGGTTGCTTTATGTTAGATAATGTTATCTTCATATTCCTTTCAGAGGTACATAGTAAATTAATAAAGCTTCATATGTTTAATAGGTTAAAAATGAGGATTGTCAGACAAAGAGTTGTCCGGGACACGAGGTAGCTTTTCCTATTGAGACTACTGTACAAGACCTGGACTTGAAGGAGGAAAGTAAGTCTTTATTTCTCATTATTTGCACTTGTATTGTTAATAAATAAACTAATGAAATACAAGAAAGTTTGACTAAATGATTTTACTTAGAATTCAAAAAAGTTTGTTTGAAATAAGTAAAATCATTTATTTTCTTTCCCAAGCATATCATAAGACTTGATTTTTTTTTCTAGATATATCCACACTTCTGTGTTACCTGGAAATTCATCCAAACAGAAGATTTCAGCTGTTACATCCTGTTTATGCTACCTGCACTGTTCGTTGCTATGGAGGACCTAGTCAACTTAGAGCACTTGCCCAACATGTAAGTAATTTTTAATTCATATTGGAATGTAAATTTTTAAGTTTGATAAAAGGTAAAAATTATTTTTGTATGCCACGTTGTTTTCTTTGGTCTAGCTGAATAACCATTCAAAGATACAGTATTATCTTAACCTTAGTTTATTTTGAAGTTGAAATTAAAACTCATAGTGGTGTACTGTGTACAGCTAATTGTTGTATGCATGAGAGTAAGATACATGAAAGTTTTACCTGTGTTTACGTATTACAACTTGTATTGATGTATTGTATATAACTGTTTTGTGCACGAAGGTTTTACCTGTGTTACATTGCTTACTTCTACTTTAATATTTCTTGGAAGAATAACAGTTGGGTATACAGAAATTGTGTTTTGTTGTTAGATGTAGAAAACTTTGTATAGAATAATAAGGAAATTGCAATGTGTTTTGTGTTTTTAGCCAGATTGGCTCAATTTTGTGTCATACTTCTAAGTAGAAGTAATAGCATTTTTTGGCCTATATTTGTTTATTTACATAATTACACTTTTAGAGTCCTCCTATAGCAGCTGCCTTAGCCCTACAGCGTCGTAAAAGCCAGAATAAAACTGCTCAGTTGCAGTTTCCAGTGGTCCAAGTGGCTTCTCGAATGGGTTGGGATTCAGGTTTAGTAAAGAAAAGTTTGAAACAGTTAGAGTGGGATAACAGTCACTTGAAAAGTGAGTATTGAAAGTGTTGCATAATATTTTGTTTTCCAAATATAACAGAAAAATTTAAGTGATAATTGTCATTTCAAAGTAATTTCATCTAATACTTTTATGCAACTGTAATTACAATTTTTTTTCTTTCTTTACCTTTTCACTAATAGTTCATTTTTAAGGTTTCATTTTCTTTCACTATTTTTTATTTTTGATTATTTATGTTGACACATGTCAGCAGGTGTCTGTGGGCGATAAAACGTTATCATTGGCAAAGACACTAGCATCGGGCAAAATTTTTTAAACTTGCTTATTTAGGTAACTGTTGTGGAACGAGGCGAAGGTTAAAATATATTTTAAAAAATCATTAAACCTTTCATATATCAATTTTAAAATGCAAATAATACATAATTAACTAAAATATAATACAAAGGTAAAACCTAAATGTAATTTAACTGTCTATCAAACTAATATGTATACGGCAAGAAAAAGTAACTATGCACTAGGGAACAGCGTCGAACCAACAGTGTATTGGGCAGTTAGAATTGTTGCTACCATTCAATTCGTGTAAGTATGAAGTTAGCCTTGAGAAAATTGTTCCATGAAATCTGCTCTTTCTATTGGTTATAAGCATGCCATTCAAATATAATCTGTTGCTGGGCAACAGCCCTTTCTAATTTTGAAAGTGAATATGGCTTCTATCAGAGGGGAGAATGATACAAGCTTTTTCTTGGAATGTTTTCAGTTATAAGGTGAAACGTATTTTGGAATTTTATCCTGTACTTCGAGAAGGTTGTCTAGAAAATCTGTTGGGCTACTCAGACTAAGCTGAGCAGAAACAGAAGAAACCAAAGATGAGATATTTTAACTGCATGCGTGTCATGTGACAACAAAACTGAAGTTTTAATTATTGTTTATTTTTAAGTAAAGGAATAAAAACTTAGATAATATAAAATTTTGAATTATAACATACTTGATAATGCTAATTTCATTAAAGTACATTGATAGCAAGTGGATTAATTAAATTTTGAATGTAACTCAGTAACACTTTGTGACATGTGTAAAAAGGAGTTTAAAAAAATCATGTTGTCTTGAAAGGGCTAAATATTCATAAAGGAGCACCCCAAAAATGGGAGATCAGGTCTTTTTTATCTCGGGTTTAACTTAACCAGTTTACTATAAAATTGGTATTAGTATATATATATATATTCTAAACAATAATCTAAGTTCACATTTTGGAAATTTGAATTCCTATAGAATCTGATCAACAAATTTTTAATAAAATTGCCATGTAAAAGATTACAAAATAAGCATATTTGTTAAAATTTTCATATTAGGGCCATCTAGTAGGGAGGGAATTTACTGCGTTTAAAGGACAGTTAAGATTGAATTTATGGATCTTTATTTTCATTTGACAAAAACTTTTTATAACTGGTCATTTAAAACAAGTACAAGCATTTTTTTAGTTGTTTACCTTGAATTGTCTTGCATGATTTACTAGTATTAACTAACCCTAAGACAACAACTTTGTTTATCAGGTGGAGGCAATTGGAAGAGAACAGGAGTACTTGTTGAGTTCTCAGACTCAGCTTTCCATATTTATGCTCCTGGTGATTTAACCGATGATGAACAAGATTCCATGTTGGATTATCTGCATGGACGAGTTGTTTTGCATGAGAAACGAGAACTTCTTAGACTTGAAATGATTTATAATGTATTTCACAGGTACTACAAAAAGTTTAAAAACCATTATTATTACTTTAGTTTAAAACAGAAGTGTGAGAGATTTTAAAATTAAACAGTTTTATGTTTATAAAAGTACCAAAAATTATAATTAATTAGTTGGGCTTTTTTATTTACGTATATTAAAAGATATTTACTCTATTTTACTAGTGAAAGGAAACTAATATTTTGCACAAAATTGTTTTAATGACTAAATGTGGTGGTAGAGTGACTTTTTTCAAATATTCATTTAAAATTTTGGTTTGTGAAAAAATAACCTGACACAACATATTTAGTTGAAATATGGCAGGTTTAAATGTTAGATGACTTTGTGAAAATTATACTCTTTATTAATAGTTTCACCAGCTTTAACCCGATGACTACCAGAAACTAACTTTCTAAGTAGCCAATGCAAGTCTTGCTATATGTCATTCCAACAATAAAACTATTGGTTAAAAAGTTT